CGCCTGGTGCTCGCGCAGCTCCTCCTCCGTCTCCTCGGGGTGGCTCTCGTGCTGCCGCGCCGGCTCGGCGGGCTTGGAGATGATCTGAAAGAAGCACAAACTCATCAGAGCTGCCTCTCACCCGGGGGAATGCTCGCTCTGGCTCTCCAGGCTGAAGGGAAGGAGCAGCTCTGAGTTATTGTGTATTAAGGTCAGGGTAACCCTGGCATCGAGGGCTCCGAAATCCCTTGTCCCGAGTGATGACACCTCCTTATTTTCCACTTCATCCTCTCTCTGAAGGAATAAGAGCCTCTTGTTCCTGCACACCTCCAGATGCTACTCCATTCACAAACCCATCGAGATGTTTGGCAATTAAATTCTGAAAGAATACCGGGGACACAAACCCTCCAGCAGGGCTTCTGCTGCCTGTTTGCTCAACATCACCTCGGATCACTCCCTGAATTTTTTCTGTGAGGCTGAAATAATGATTACTTGAGGATCTGTACTCTTATGGAGCTGGTTAAGAGGGAACTCAGGACATGCAGCTGAGAGCAAACCTCAAGAGCAGCGTTGTTCTAACCTGACCTTCCTAACCAGACACAGTAAACGTCTCGGAGAGGAGCTCCTAAACCTAAAGGAACAATTTAATTCTCACTGTAATTCACTCAGGCTTTTTGTAAGTTCCTTGGCAAGATAAAATTCACAGTTCTCTGTCTCAGACTGCTTATGATTTTTATTTGGAATATAAAAAAAAAAACAAACCAAATGTGACCTGTTTTCAACTCCAGAGTAGGAAAACCAATCCATTTCCTCCCTTTCAAAGAGCTCAGGCTGCCCCTGTTTCAAACAGGCTTATAAAGAAACTGCTGCACTTTGAAAGTTGTCGGGGCAAGGTTTAATGAGGATTAGGTCATCGGTATGGTAAGCAATATTGATTTTAAATCTAATAAAGCTAAATCAAAACATGGTTATTGAACACATGCAGGAGGAAGGACTATTTGTCAGTAACTTGCTCTTTGAAGAACAGTGGCTCCAATCTGGAACTGAGCCTTTTTCTCCCCCAAAAGCAGGAAAGAAGGCTCTGCCATATTACCTAAGCAAGGCAGAGGGGCAGGAACGGAGTGAATCTGGCAAGGGACATGAAGCAAGAAAAGAGGAAGGCTAAGGAGACCCTGGTGCCACTGCTGAATGAGGGAAGGCACATGAGATAGAATTAATGCCTTATTTAAGACAATCCTTCAGGAATCCCTGGAACTCTGACACCAGAGGAAAAGTCTTTAACAAGGAAAACTTCCCTTGGTGAAGGAATTACCACTTAAAAGACCTGGACATCCTTAAGTCCATGGGACTCTCACAGGTTGCACTCACAGGTGATGGGACAGAAGGCCATGGGCACATATTAAAACTCATAAAATTCTTTCTGAACACAATAAAACTTTTTTTTTTTTTTTCCTGTGAGGTTGGTCAAACACTTGAACAGGTTCTTCATAGAAGTTTTGGAATCCCCATCCTTGGAGATCCTTGGGCAACCTGTTAGAGGGAGGACACTGCCCTCAGTGACCTCAGGAGGTCCCTGCAAAGATTCAGGGATCAAAACCCCTCAAGGATTTGTGTGAGGTTCCCCTGCCCCCCACAGTTTAATTCCTTATAACACACACTGAATAACCAAACCACATTAAGCTAAAAGTTCTTCTACCAATTTTCTTTAAGCCCTCTTAGGCTTGATGAATATTATCTGTTTTAAAGATAATTAAATTATCAATAACCATCTGCTGCTTGTTTTGATTTTTTTTTCCTGCTTGGATCGAAGGTCTCAAGCTTTTGAACTTAATGCCTTTTGAACTTCTGAACTGCAAGAGGTAATTGCTGGGAAAAATAACTTAGAGTGCCACTGTCATACCTAATGGGAATGAGAGGCAGTGTAGCTCCCTGGAAGTTTTAAATTATTCCTACTCCTTAAAAATGTAAGAATTAAATGACAGCCATGGTGAAGGCTGAGAAGACCAAGAAGTCGATGGCAAGGACATTTCAGACATTCTAGTTCCAGTTGCTGCAACGCCACCCTCAAAGGAAGATTTTGCAGAGAAGACACTTTCTTACCAACAAATTCCACATAAAACACTCAGTACCTGCATGCCAGGCCCATCCAAACTCCCTGAAAATCTTCCATTTGTGCAGTTTTACGAGCACGTGCTCGTGCCATTTAAAATCCGAGGGAATAAAAGTGCGAGGGGCTGGCTGGAATGGCAGCACTGAGAATGCTTGTAAATATATCTGAAATAGTAAGCACAAAGCACCATAAATAACCTCTCCATCCCTTAATTAGCTGTCTGGCTTCCTCTGCCACGAGGTTACTCCTCTGTTTTCATACCCAGTGGCCTCTGGCTGTCACGAGCTGCCACCATAAACCTCTGGTAAAGGCACTGCCTCTCCAGCCCCGGGCAGACGACGACTTCACTCCAGAATAAATTACAGCTCTCTAGTCACAAGCATTTTTAAAAGGCTCCATGCAGCTGGCAAGATTTCTCCTCCACAGCTTTGAAATACAAAGAACAGAAATTAAAAAAAAAAAAAAAAAAAAAAAAAAAAAAAAAAAAAAAAAACCAAAC